AAACATGTTAAACTAACTTTTAATTTTTAGGCATATTGAGTCATAATATAATTTTTAAAATAATTTGCGGTCATTTCCATTGTCTTTATATATAGTATACAATTATCTAATTAACTATATATGTTTAATTTTTTTATATGATATCGAAGATTGATCATACAATAGATGGTTTAACATGCCAAAAATATTATATGCTAAGTGAATATAATATGATCAAGTATTACAAGTACATCATTTAATAAAATAAATAATCAACAACCGGAAAATCATACCCGCGCGCCAGCGCGGGTCAAGGTCTAGTAATATATTATATGAAAGAGCCGATTACACAAACAACTACAAAAGAAAATCATAGTTAGAAAGAAAACACATCCGTTGCACCATGTGCTAATAACTTCAGAAACTGAAGTAAAAAACTATTTAACACCATGTGCTAATAACTTCAGAAACTGAAGTAAAAAACTATTTAACATTATTATAAACGCTTAAAAACTTATAGTGGAATTATCAACCGACGGACATCTTCAGAGAAATTTGATTAGCCCTCCAATGGGAGCAGTGATCTCAGCCCCAAAATGAGCATGAATAGTGTCACCGTTTGGAAAGTAGATGGTACCACCATTGTCAATCACAACTCTACCCACTTCATAGAACTTAGCGTCGAGAAGTTTATTATATGTTTTTTCCAAGTTCATATAGTTGTAGATCACTAAGCTGCAACTACACATCTCCACGTTAGCTACTGGTATAAGATCTCTGGTGCTATAATTAGATGTCACTTTAGTGATATAAAATTAGTTTTTTTTATTAGTTTGTTAACTGAGTTTTTATTCCACTTTTTAAAATGACTTTCTCTATCTATATGATATGATTATCATTATGGTTTTTTATTTTTATCAGTAAGTTTTTTGTTTTTGTGCATTATAAAAATTCAATATTTTCACAAATTTAAAGGAATTGTAGGAATCTATCAAATTTATTTCCATTCCTTTAAAATCCAAAGTGAAAGAATTAGAAAAATGCTTTGAAATCATCATCAGTCATTTAAGAGACTTCAAAATATATTATTTACGTCTTAGATTGATTTTTTGCAAAGTTGGTTAAATTCTTGAATCTAATACGTCACCTCCTTAGTATTTTGCTTTTCCCTAAATCAAGTTCATATAGTAATAGAAGATCTACTAGCGTAGAAGATCTAGATCTCTGTGCCATAATCTATATTATTAGTTAAGAAGCTAATTTGTTGATTTGTCATGTTCTCCATAATTTTAGGTAATTTTCTGTTTTGTTATTATTTTCATAGTTTTACATAATTTATTTATTTATTATGTTTTCCATAGTTTTTAAAAAAATTGATTATTATGCTTAATAGTTATAATTACTAGTCTTACTTATTTTCATATTATTAATTAAATATGTGATTTAAAATATAACAATATTATAAAATCTTATTTACGAAATATCATCTTAGTTATAACTATTTAACTTTTTATAAGATAAGATTGGTTAGTATATAATTACCTATAAATTAAAAACATTTTTTTTTTTAATTTTGATAATCATTGTTATCTAAAAAGCTCTATATTATGTTATCAAAAATATTTTACATCATGATATTTTGAAAATAAATGGGAATACATGTATAGAGTTGAATGTATACATGAATTTTTCAAGTTTATTTTACTTAATAAAAAATATTTTATTAAAATAAAAAAACTTTATCGTATGTAAAAATAATAATATTTAATTAATTATTAAATATTTCAAAAGTATGAAAATAATTTATTCTGTTTTTGAATTCATAATATATCTATTTGCAAAATTTTATAGAATTTTGAATCATGCAAAACCACTAGTGATATAACTATTTGTATAACCATTTGAATTATGCAGTTTTGTTTTAATATAGGTTGAATTATATAAAAATAATAATTAATAATGTTTTTTATCAATGAGATAATTAATAATGTTTTTTTTTTTGTTTTAAACATATTAAAAACATAAAAGAGTATTATTTATTGGATTTCTATATGAAATTAATATATTTGACCAAAAATCTAGATAATGATATATGGTCACACACACACGAAGCAGCTAAAGAAGTGAAGAATTAATGCCATGAGCAATTCAATCCGAAGAAGGACTATAGATTACAATGGGGCTTCGAACAGAGTGGCGTTGGCTCTTCCACACGAGCAATCCCGACACAATCTTCCCAGGAGTCATTTGCTTGGCCTTCACCACGACTTTGAAGCTCCTCTTCTGTGAAGCCTTTGTAAACGACAAACTCATTGGCTCTACCGTTATCTCTACTCCCTTTGGTGCTCTAACGGTGGCGTTGTACACCGACGATGGTGGTCCCACGTTGGTGACTCTCCGCCTGAACACAGCCATCGTCGACGCTTTGGCAGATCTCAACGTCAGTTGAATGGTTGGGTAGTTTATAGAATCATGACCGAGTCCAGGGACGATCGTGGAGCAGTTAATGGAGCGTGACCCAACCAATGGAGCGAGAGTGGTTGAGTTGTAGCCTTCCCCGCATAAGAACTGGACATAGGAGATATCGTCCATGTCGTAGACCAAGCCAGGGCTTGCAGCTCGTCTTGGGTTTACTTGGCCTCCTCCAAAGGCAAACTCAGCTTCCTTGTTCACTCTTCGGCTTATCGGTTTTGCTGCCCAAAACAAAAACAAAAAAAAAGCTATGTGGTTAAGGACTTCCTATGAATAATGAAAACTGAGTGAAAACTTACCTGAGGTGATGATGGCGGACTTGATAGCAGCGGGAGACCAATCGGGATGGAAAGACTTGACATAAGCGGCAACACCAGCAGCATGAGGGCAGGCCATGGAGGTACCAGAGAGGATGGTGAACTTTGAGAATTGGGTGTCACCGTCTAAACCAGTGAGTGATCTCTTGAGAGTGAAGGCCGCCAATATATCAACCCCGGGTGCAGCAATGTCAGGCTACATTACAATACATGAGTCATTTTTTATAATAATAACCAGATTACAAGTGAGTTTAGTTATATATATACCTTGAGAAGGCGTATGGATCCAGGGTTAGGACCTCTTGATGAGAAAGAAGCAACAAAGGGAGCAGGGATCGTCACTTCTCGGGTCTTCTGAATCACCGCAGATGGTGACCTTGAAGAGTTGACATAACGGTAAATGGAATCGCCGATGGTGGAATTAACAGAAGTGGCAGGAGCCATGAAGATCTGAGCGTTATCAAGATACTGATCACTAACAAGGATGGCACCAGCACCACCATATCGTTTAATAGTGGACTCCACACCAGATCCTCCCATTTTACACACCATCACATTTCCCTTCACTTTCTTCTTGTCCAAGTACTCAGAGAAACAGTACCTTTTTGCATCATCATCAACAAAAACATGTCTTCGTTTAGGTTCCTGTCTTCATCTTAAACATTCAATTAAAAAGCAAGTACCTGGCCAAGTACTTGTCGTCTTTGGTCTTAGCAGCATCAACGCCACTTACAAGCGGGTAAGATTTAGCTTTCGGCTTGAACATGCTTATTCCCATCCCCTTTTATCATCATTCAAACTTTTTAATATTAATTTTTTTTTATTAATTTACTAAAATTGATTTTTTTTTTTTAAGGAAATTAGGAGATTTGTTACAGAGATTGATTTGCCGTTGCCGAGATCGATCTGGCTCTTGAACGTCCGATCAATCCCACTCGCTGCAACCGTCAATATCCACGGCTCGTGGTTCGTCACACTCCCTGATGACGGTCCGTCGTTTCCGGCGGACGCCACCGTGAGGATCCCTTTCCTCACGGCGTGAAACGACCCCACGGATATCGAATCGGAAGAGTAATCGGCGATTGGACCGCCGATCGAGATGGAGATGATGTCTACGCCGTCGTGGATCGCCGCTTCGAATCCGGCGAGGATGTCCATGTCAGCGCACCCGGATTTCGCCCAGCACACTTTGTACATGGCCACTCTCGCCGACGGAACCGCGCCGCGGGCGGTTCCGCTTGCGATGCCATAGAGACTCGCGTTTGCGACTAGAACGCCGGCTGCGGTGGACGATGTGTGCGTCCCGTGGCCGTCGATGTCGAGAGGTGAACGGACTTCGCCGTTGGGAAGGACGCCGTCGGCCTTGAAGAATTTTGCGCCGATTATTTTGCTGTTCAATTCAAAAGATAATATCAATAAAGACCCTTATATTGACCATAATTACAATAAGCTACTTAAACTATTCAATTTTTCAGCCAAGTCCTTTATTTTTCTTTTCTTTTTTTTCTAACAGTGAATTTTTTATACATTCTTTAGGCTTTAAGAACATGATTTTAGGGGTTTTTACTGGATTTCTTAGGGAGTTTTTATTGTGTGGGATCCATGAACAGTATAAGAGTCGATCACAAAAATTATGAATTAAGAACTGATTCTTATGGGTTTCTTGTACTGTTCGCGGTTCCACACTGACATGTGGCGATGCACGATTGGTTTGTTTTTAAATTATTATTTTTTAGACAAAAAAAATTGAAAAACACAAGTGGATTTCTAAGGATAATTATGCTCTAACAGTGATTCGAGAATTTATAGTTGTTGATATAGAATCAAGAAATTTTGAACAAAGAAAAAGATTAGGAATTGACAAAGATAATTGAAATACTTGTTGCATCCGGTGAAATTTTTAAAAGGTCCACACGATCCTTTCCATTTCGCCGGTGGAGGGCCTAGACCATGGTCCTGGAAGCTCTCTGAATCTGGAGTTATTCCTGATTATTACATAGCCAGCCATAAAATAGAAATAAATATAAATCAAGCTTGTATGTTGCCAACTTATATTATGTAATGAGTTAACATATACAATCATCAAAACCTGTATCAAGAACACCAATGATAACATCTCTCTCTGCTTTAAGATGTCTTTTTGCTGTCAGAGGAAGTCCCACGAAATCCCATGATTTTGTTGTGTGAAGTTGCCTATACCGATTTCTGAATACACCAAGAACCCCTTCCATCTCTGCACCAGTTTTTTAGTTAAGTTATGTTACTTGATATATGATAGCTTATGCTTCTCACTATAGTGCATGTGGAATTTGTTGTGAATATCAAAGAAATAAGGGAGTACAATGTTACTAGATATGATGGCTGGCTACGTACTAATTAAGCAAGTACAATATACATACCCATCATCTTCTTAGCTTCATGTGGAGAAAGCTTGGCAGCAAAAGCGTTGAAGACTTTAGTGTAACTATATACCATTCTTTCTTGTGCTTCTTCTTGGCTGTTAAATTTTCAATTAGAAAGATTATATCAGGGCCGCTTTGATATATTTGAGAAAAAATGTTATACATGTAACTTATGCAAAATGCATGTCATCATACCTTATATCTAAAGAGGAGAGGAGATTTACGTGTGTCTTGATAGCTTCATCTCCATTTCCCAGTTGATCTCCCAGGTAAATGATATAAAAATCCTTTAAAGAAGAGTTTTTCAAAGTACATCATTCTCCTTGCATCATAACTTTTAATTTGTTCAATTCAATGACAACGAAGCTAGCCATGAGGACAAAGCAATATAATAATAATACCTTTGCATGTTTGTCTTCGACTGAAGCATATCCTGGTGATATCCAAAGAACATGAAGAAGAAGAATAACAAGAAGAAGAAGATGAGATGAACGGTTTGACCTTCCCATATGTAAATATTTGTGTATATGAAAAGTTTGGTTATTGGTTAATGAGAAGATGACACATCTCTCCTCTATTAATAGACAATAAGAAGACCCCTTGTGGATAAATGAGAAAGCTGATACAATAGTTTAATTTAAAATTAATCCGAGTTAGACCACACATGCAAAACTGTATAGTTGTAAATTGTTAAATAGTATAATTTTATTTTGTTGTTGATGGTAACTTAGAAGGAAAAGAGTAGCCACTTGCGTTATCTAATTTTCAGAAGTATGTTGATATTTATGTGCTTATTTCCGTATAGTATTAGTATAGTAAGAAAAGAAAAAAACGACCTCCTCTAGCTTAGCTTACTTGAATTCGAATTCAAGAAACTACGTTTTAACTAGAAAAAGCTATTTCTAGTGATAGCTTTAAAGTTTTCTAATGTTGGTATATATATATTGTGTATTGCAAGGCTCTCAACTCTAATGTTTCTAGTTATAAAATTGATGTCACATTTGACTCGTATTTTATGTCATCATCAACCACTATATGTTTGCTTAACTCAACAACTCGTTTTATGCCATTCACTGATTTCCAACAACGACCTTCCCTTTTGTTTCAGAATATTTTTTCAAAAGAGAAAGCATCCATAATTGGGCCGTAGGATGTACCCACTTTACGGCCCATTATAATAAATGAGTGAAAGAAAGGGTAAAATAAGGAGACTGAACTTTGATCAGTTGCCGGAAGCCTTCTTCTTCCGACTAAAACCCTAAATTAACAGAATGTCACTGATTCGTCTCTCCCGCCACAATTCATTAACGATCCTCACGCGCAGCCTTCACGGCGCTTCTTCCGACGAAACAGTTTCAACCTATTCACGACTCGTAGACCGTTACAACTTCCATCCACCACCACCACCGCCAGCTTCTGAAGATCCCAAGAAGAATAAGAAGCCGCCGAAGCCGCAATACCGACCTCCTTCGTCTCTAGAAGGAGTGAAGAAGATCCACTCAAGTCTCCCTTTCGATTTCAGGTTCAGTTACACGGAGAGTAGCTCAAGCGTCAGGCCCATTGGGCTGAGAGAGCCCAAATACTCTCCTTTCGGGCCCGATCGGTTGAACAGGGAATGGACGGGGGTATGTGCGCCGGCGGTGGACCCGAAGGTAGAGACGGTGGAAGGAGTTGAGGATCCGAAGTTGGAGGAGAAAAGGAGGAAAGAGAGGGAGAAGATACAGGGCCCACCTCTAACTGAAGCGGAGAGGAAGTTTCTTGTTGAGCTTTGTCAGAGAAGCAAAACCAAAAGACAAATCAATCTCGGGAGAGATGGTTTGACTCATAACATGCTTAATGATATTTATAACCACTGGAAACATGCTGAAGCTGTTCGTGTCAAATGTCTTGGTGTCCCTACTCTTGATATGAAGAACGTTATCTTCCACCTTGAGGTAAATATCTTCTCTTTTAAGTAGATGATTGGGGGAACTAGATTATACTCCCTCCGTTTCATATTAAGTGTGGTTGTAGAGGATTTTTTTCATTACAAAATAAGCATGTTTTCGGTTTTCAATGCAAATTTTATTAATTTTATTATGTAATTTGTTTTTCGATTGCTTAAAATGTGATTAGTTATATACGTAATTGTGTTTTTATATAGAAAATATGTTAAATTAATTGTTTCCTTAATCTGTGCGTACAGTACAGTTCTGAAGTGACAGTTATAATGAAACAAAATGATTATTAATGAGTCCTACCACTTTGGTGTTGTTGTAGGATAAAACTTATGGGCAGGTTGTTTCTAAGCACTGTGGTACGCTTGTGTTATATAGAGGGAGAAACTATGATCCTAAGAAAAGGCCTAAGATTCCTTTGATGTTGTGGAAGCCTCATGAACCTGTCTACCCTAGGCTTATTAAAACTGCCATTGATGGTCTTACCATTGAGGAGACCAAAGCTATGAGAAAGAAAGGGCTTGCTCTTCCTCCCCTCACTAAACTCGGTCCATACCCCCTTTTTTCTATGTCCTTTTATTTTAATTATTATTCTTGGCTTTTGCCTTGAACTGACTCTGTTTATTTGTTTGTTTTAGCTAAGAATGGGTATTACGGTAGTCTTGTTCCAATGGTGAGAGACGCTTTCCTCGTTAGTGATTTAGTACGGATTGATTGCTTGGGACTAGAGAAAAAGGATTACAAGAAAATTGGTGCTAAGCTAAGGGTGAGATCATGATCATGTAGTTTCTCTTTCTGTCACTTTGTTTGATTGAACAAAACACACTAACATGTCTAAGTATATTGTGTAAAGGATTTGGTGCCTTGCATCCTGGTGACATTTGACAAGGAGCAGGTCGTGATTTGGAGAGGTAAAGACTATACGCCACCCGAGGAGGACGAAGGTGAATATCCTTCATTCATCACTAATCGTCCCAAGGACTCTGATGCTATATCACCAAACTAGCCACCAAGAGGGATCTAAGCCCCTACACTTTGTATAGTATAAGTTTGTTTGTGGTGAGTATTCTTTTTGGTCAAATAAAAACTATAAATCAAAACTATCTTTTAGTTATTTAATAGGAAAAAGAGACGATATATTTAAAAGAAAATCTCGACAAAAAAGGTAAACGAAATCTAATATATACATAATAAATCTAATTAAAAAGATCTAGAATATCCATCTCTTGGTTTAGAGTACAAACCTGTGGTGGTTCCGTACAGGCTCGTGTGGGTTCATTGCTAGAATGTAAATTCAAGTCTTCTTCAGGTTTAATTTCCGCAATATCTAAGAGTTGTATCAATGCTTCAGTGCTCGGGTCTGCTTTACTCACTACAGCTTTTTTTCTACGTTGATAGGGAACAAAGCCACGGAACCTCTCCTTCCGATTTATCTTACGCTTCACCACGGACAAAGCCTTGGACAATGAAGATAAATCCAACAGATTTTTTGTGGTGGAACTAGTCTTCTTCTTTTCGGTGGTGCAGTCTCCTATAACTTCCTTGAGCGAGCTTAGATTGAAACTAAAATCATCATCCTCTTGCTTGATAGGGATTCTCTTCTTCTTGCTTTCTGGTTTCATCTCTTTATATACTCATACAATCTCTATAACATACAAACTTTTCTATTTACCTATTTATATGTAGCGAGGTTCTACGGCGACGCCAGCCCATTTCGTTTGCTCCTGATTTTGGGCCGTTAGAGCACCCACATTGGGGTATTTTAGCGGGTTCATAGGCCCGAAAACCAAGGCCCGTGATCGAAAAATAAATAGGAAAATGGGTATTTTCGTGTGGACCGGTTCACGGGAGTGAACCCCAAAGAGACGGGTTCACAACACGTGGCAAAGCGTGATTCGACCGTCGAAACACGCGTGTAACCCGAAGAAAGAAGGGTT